TGCCTCCCACCCGATTGAAAAAGACAGCTGTGTCCTCAGTTGCCAGCCCTTTCCAAGTGCGAACCTCCGTACCTCTGCACTTTACTCCCACAGCTCCTCTGGTTCTCAGTGTGCTTTTCTTCCCTTCTAGTTGTAGAATTTCCACTCAGCCAGCCTTCCTGCAGTTCTGGGTGATGTCCGTTTTGTCTTTTCGTTGTATTTTGAAGTTGTTGTGGGAGGCAGCAATTTTCCGGTATTTACCTATGCCGCCATCTTAGTTTCTCTCCCACTTTATGTTCTTAAAAATTATTAGGATCCTAGTGCGCTTTGTTAACGTGTGGGTTATATCTGACAATATTTATCACATTTGAAATTAAAAGAAAATTTAAAAATATTTTACTTCATTTAAAAATAACAAAAAATTGATTACATGTTAACACAAATAGCATATTTTTATTAAAAAGAATGACCTTTTCTCTTAGCATAATACTCTCTAGGAGCAAAATAAGCCAGTCAGAAAAAGACAAATATCACATGATCTCACGTATATGTGGAATCTAATGAAGAAAATAAACTGCCGAAACCGGTTTGGCTCAGTGTATAGAGCGTCAGCCTGCGGACTGAAAGGTCCCAGGTTCGATACCGGTCAAAGGCATGTACCTGGGTTGCAGGCACATCCCCAGTAGGAGATGTGCAGGAGGCAGCTGATCAATGTTTCTCTCTCATCGATGTTTCTAACTATCTCTCTCTCTTCCTCTCTAAAAAATCAATAAAATATATTTAAAAAAAGAAAATAAACTGATAAACAAAACAGATCCAGAGACATTGAAACAGGCAACAGACTGACATATTTCAGAAGGGGGGTGGGATGGGAAGAGATTAAACAAGGAACTTTTATGCATATATGCAAAGCCCATGGACAAACAGTTCAGGTAGGTGAAGACGGGGTGGGATGAGAGCTGGGTGGAATGGGGTAAAGGTGTGTAATTGGGGGATATCTTAATACTCTCAACAATAAAATAAGTTTTAAAATATATAAATATAAATGCATATATACACACACACACACACACAAACACACACACACTTATATTTTCTCTGCAAATACACATATTTTTTAAAAAAAAAAAAATAATAATAATAATAAAAGAGTAATATGCAAATCGACCAACTGGCCGAACAGCCGGACGACCTTCTGGATGAAGCCGAGGCTGTGAGGGCTGAGGCAGCCAGGGCCGTGAAGGCCTACTCTTGCATGGATTTCGTCCATCAGGCCTCTAGTTCAATAATAAAGTTAAAAAACAACAATGACCTTTTCCAAGCAAAATGTTGTTTAACAAGAGTGGCATTGTTTTACATTTTTGTACATCTCTTTTGTTGTTTAACTTAAAAGGAGATAGCTGGGTCCTCATGTATGTTTCTGTATTCTGTCTGGTGTGAGATGTTGTCTTGGTTGAAGTATATGAAGAATATCTAGCCTCACACAGACATATAGTTGGAAAAGGCAGGAGTATTTAATAGATATCTCAGAACACTGGATATTCTCCTTGCAGACTTCACCAAAATTTGAAAATGGTGGGTTTTTTTAAAGTTAGTTGTAATGTAGAATATAAAATTGTACCAATGAGCTTTTTATACTGATACATTAAAAACCTACTGGTGTGTCTTGCACTGTTAGTGGGTCTTTTGTCCAAGCAGGACATTGTAGCTCTGTTTATGGTTCATTGCGAAAATACTGGTTCATTGTTATGCAGATGTCCCCAACATTGACATGTTTTGATTTACAGTATCAAAACTTACATTAGTTAATTTCTGCCACCACCAGTCTCATCAGGAATGTCTTTAAGTATTGGGAAGCTGTCAAACTCATGTTGACAAAAATGAATTTTCCAAGATTCTAATTTCTTTTTTTAAATTTTTTTATTGTTCACAGTATTCCCCCCTGTTCCCCTTCCTTTGTTCCCCTCCACTCAGCCCCTACATCACCCCAGGCCTTCACCACACTATTGTCTATGTCCATGGGCAGTGCATATAAGTTCTTTGGTTAATTTTCTCAAATTTATCATTGGCTACAAATACTGAAGTTGTTGTACTTGAAGTACTTAGTGTTCATTAATTTTTGAGAAAGATGTGCAAATACTCAAGTCTAAACAACCATTGTTTGTCTGCCAGCTATTCTTGGAAATTTCCATTTTTAAAAGGCTAGTCATCTCGCAGCTCAAATATTTGTGCAAGTGCTTTTCCTTTAGACAACCATAATTGTTTTTTGTTATGTAACGGAAGTGCTTTATGCATACATTTTTTTTTATTGCAGAAGGACCACCACCTTCATGTCACATAAGTACCATTTCTTCTTCTCAGTGAGAACATCTAAGTTCTCTCTTAGTGACCTTCAAGTGTTGAGTACAGTGTCATTATCTATAATCACCATGCTGTACATTGCGTCCCCAGAACTTACTTATCTTATACATGGAAGTTTGTATACTCTTTGACCAACCCCTCTCCATTCCCCCAGCCTCCAGCCCCTGGTAATCATCATTCTAGTCTGTTTCTATGAGTTCAGATTTTTCAGATTCCACATAACGTGATATCATATGGTTTTTGTGTTTCTCTGTCTGCCTTAATGCCCTCGTAGGTCTATCCATGTTGCCACAAATGAGAGGATTTCCTTTCTTGTGGCTGAATAATATTTTATTGTGTATACATACTTATATATAATATAGATATCACATCTTTTTTTATTCATTCATCCATTGATGGATACTTAGGTTGTTTTCATTTCTTGACCATTGTGAAAAATGCTGCAATAAACGAGGGAGTGCAGATATCTTTTTGCTAATTCTGTTTTTCATTTCCTTTTTGAATATGTATATATACCTGGAAATGTGATTTTTGGTTCATATGGTAGTTCTATTAAGTTTTTTTAAATACTTTTTAATTGATTTCAGAGAGGAAGGGAGAGAGAGAGAGAGAAACCTCAATGATAAGAGAGAATCATTGATTGGCTGCCTCCTGCACACCTCCACTGGGGATTGAGCTCACAACCCAGGCATGTGCCCTGACTGGGAATCGAACTGTGACCTCCTTGTTCATAGGTCGATGCCCAACCACTGAGCCATGCCGGATGGGCTATTTTTTT